CACACCAGCACAACAGCAAAGAGCACAAATAATGACGGGACTAAATTTGAAGTATTCCCATACCTTTGATGATTTAGGGCGAGCTGTTTTTTTAGGACTTTTTCTTTTATTGGGGCTTTTATTGGGAATTCTGTGAGGAGGTTGCTGTTTCGTCTTCCATTCTGCAATGTTTTGGTCTCCCACGTGTGTGTGTCGAGCTGTGGCGAAGTGTCGACGCAAAAATTTGACGTCGACATATTTTTGACGCCGACGCGTCGCTACAGGCCTATATTTGGTAAGGTTTTGGAAAAGATCATGGAAAATGGCAATTTTGATCCACGATATTGAATCAGTGTATCCCTACTTTTTTCAATATTTTAAGAAATGTTAACATGTTACTAAACCTTTTTTTCCATGTACGAAACAGGACCAAAGCTGTTCAAAATTAAATGTTGTCTAAACATAAACAACTAAACAAGGACTATATCTAAATAAAATTGGTAACATTTTGATAAAAATTGGGAACTATTGGATCAGAAAGTAAGTAAACAAGACTAGGAACCAGATATTCAATGCCATTTTGTGGTGCAGATCACTACAGACATTTTGGTAGGTAAGTTAGCCTTTTTGTCTGTCTGTCCGTCTGTCTGTCTGTTTGCCTGTCAGTCAGTTGACTGGTTTGGATGAAAAAAAAAATCTTAACAAGCCTTTGGAGCTGGAACAGTTGATGGAAGTGTGGCCATGCTGACCAAGCAACTAAACTGTACAGAGAGACAGAAAAGGAAACGGCTGGATTTGCAGCCTCTCTCTCATCAGGATTCACACAGCTAGCACAGTGGAACAGTCTGTGATTGGCCTAAAATATCACACTGCTTATGTTGCTTCAGAAGAGCATCTCTGTTAACTTTTCTGGACATATTTCTTTATTTCCATCTCACACTAACATATTTTCAAAATAAAATATTTGTAGGCTTGTAAATTCACTTGTTTAGCCCATATAATTACTTGTAATTCTCATATACTCATCTATATGTGTTGCTCCTTCTGCTCAACCGTTGTTAATCTGTAACTTTTTCCCCTAAACCTTTCCATCATCGTATTTGAAGATGTGTACTTCACAGGACGACCTTTGAAAATGACACGGACGTTAAATAGCTCTGATCTGTTTTCTTTGCGCCGTCATGCATTTTTAAATTCACATATTAAAATCGTATAACTTATTGACTTGATATCACAAGAAAAGTTGTGCAAGTTAAAAATAAACTTAATTTGCAGGTTGCCTTAACTTTGCTTCACAAAAATGCTTCATTTGGAATCATGTCAATCATCTGTATCTGTATCAGGGCTAAGTCTAGCAGCAGCTATGGGTTTGAGTCCAAACTGTGGCCCTTTGCTGTGTGTCATTGTCATGGTACTACTCTCACACATCTTCGTTCTACAGGTAGGGCATGGCCGGTCACACAGAGGAACACAAACACCCACTTAGGGATCATTGATGGTGACATTACTAGGGATGGGACTATACACAACATTATCACTTGTATATATATATATATATATATATATCATAAATATATCGTGGTGAATTTTCATTATCGTGATAATCATGAATATCTTCACATGGCTTGACTTGACCATGGCTGAAGACTCAGCTTGCTCGTTGTATCCCCCACAAAATAAAGTTAAACTTGATGTGTGGAAATAGTATAGATTCCAAAATAAAGAACGAAAGAAAGAAGGGAGATGAGATTCCTATCTATGATGCAATAAATATATTTTTTTTTTTTAAAGCTATGGTAAAGTGATTCCAGTATGCTTTAGTGCTATTTTAAAAGTATGATGTATATCATGATTATTGTGATAATAGTGTGTATCTTGTATCTGTAAACTTGAAGTAGTCAATATATTTATTATATAAGATAGGGATGAAAGGATACACTCCCGTTTTGATACAATTCACGATACAAGTGATTTTTTTTAACAAAACCAGATTGAATACAAATAGGGTATGAAAAGTTGTAACTTAAAAAGTAATCAGTAACTTAGGCTGTCAGACAAATGTATTGCTCCATTACATTTATAGGAAGTAGAATATTTGACTCTGAGGAGTAGTGGAGTAGAAGTAGAAAGGTGCATAAAATGGAAACACTCAAGTACAAGTACCTTCAATCTGTAGTTAAGTACAGTACTTAGTTACATTCCACCACTGCCTGTTAGTGACAGGAGGGTATCTTGCTCTTGTATGTTGGCTAATGTCGCTCAAATCACAGCATAAGGCAACCGCACATATACACCAACTTCCTGTGGGAAATAAAATAGCCTTCAATAAAGTTATTCCTCCCGAAGGAGTACATCATGTAGACAGTATCAAACTGACGTTGAGTTCCACCAACACAAGAGTAAAATGAGCTTTTCTTGCTCAACCTAAAAAGTTCGTTGTTTGAAGCTGCAGCGTTGCAAACATAAAGCACAAAGGCCAAGAAGGAGAACAAGTACAGCAGCGTATCTGTTCTTCTGTACATATCTTCTATCTTCTGTAAACTGAAATCACACAGTAAAACACAGTTGTCAGAGTTTTGGCCAGGCGGCTCTTCTCTTACCTTGTTGCTGTGTTGACTTTAGAGAGAATCCCTCTCTCCTTCTCTCCTTCTCTCTCCTCCGTTTCGACG